TATATATATATATATATACATATAAGTCGTAGACGTGTATATAATTATATGTATATCAGCTAGGATGGTTAGAAAGTCTGGAAACAGTCGAATATCTGGAAAACTCTATAAGAAAAATGTTTCATACGAAAACTGATGTAGATCAATTTTATAAGTGGTGTATTAGGTAGAAATGTTAGCGTTGTCAAGGTAGCTTAAAAATACCCTTCAAAGTTTTTAAATAGAAACCTCCATTTTTCATTGTATTCTTGATAGTAAGCAACCAGAAAATGCAATGAAAAATGTGGGTTAATCCATTTAAAAATTTCAAAGTGACTTTTACATTTATATCTTTAACAACAATATTTAACATTTCTATCTAATGTGTGCCACGTAAAATCCTACATCTTTTGTACGAAACATCTTTTTCAAAAGGCTTTCTTTTTCTGATATTCGACTGTTTTCGGATTTTCTGACCACCTCATATATAGTCATACATCGTCATATGTGGTCATATATGTTCGCATAGTGGCATATATAGATATATGGACATATATGGCATACATAGTCATATAGAGATAAATATTATATATGATCATATATATAATGATTCATATATAATCGTATATAATTGCACATAAAAATTTTTACTCGAGTATAATTAAGTTTCAAGGACCTCAATGATCCTTGGGCCTGAGATCGCAGTCCCCTCCCCCGGTACCCACTTTTCAGTCGATCTCTGTATGGAAAGAAATAATTAACGTAAAAGTATTAAAACCGCCTATTTTAGCAACTTTATTAGATTTTTTCAAAAACTTGATATGCCACTTTTACGGTCAACGCTAAAAAAAGTTTATCAGAAATGACTTAATAAAATTTAAAACAAACAAAGGTCTTATTTTGTCGATTAATGTTATTATTTTAAATATAATTATTTGACTAATTACACAGTTCAATACTTTTTTGGGACCAGTATAAACAAAGTGTTTTCCGTTGGATTTTTGTTCACTAAAAACAAATATTGTCGCAGAATTAACCTCGTTAGGTTTCTGAGAAAATTGAAGTAAAATGTGCAAACATTGGCATTTTTGGCCACATTTACCACTTTTTTTTATGACGCTGAAGATAGCAGACGGACTTAGCAGACGGCCGCGCTCGACATCGCGCCGGACATAAGTACATGTCCACTCACTGGGACGTTTACCTTAATTGAAGGGATGGGGGGAATAAAGGCACAATTTTACTTTCAGATCCTTTTTCCGGAGATTAGTTTTTTTATATAATATTGATCATAATAGAGAAGTATTGCAACATGTAACTTCTTAAAGACATTACATAAATTCATTTGATATTGTTATATCACCTTAAATTCTTTTTTACAAAGAATAAGGTAAGATGAAGAGAACATACATTAAAATAAATTATTTGAAAGATTAATGAATAGTAAAAATAGTCATTAATAATGTTGAAAAAAATATTAGTTACAAACAGTTACGGGTCTCCTTTTTGCAATTTCTCTTTTTGCAAAACTCATTTGTGTATAATAAAAAAGTAGCAAGTTATTTTAATTTTTATTAAAATCAAGGTTTTGTAATTAGGTCTTTATTTCATCCATCCCTCAATTGAATATATAAATCGTCTGCTATTTTTTAAGTATTTGTTATTCTTTTATTGTCCATTGAAAAATATTCAGTATAAATTTTTATGCTTTATTTTGCGTAAGAATAGTCTCATTGTTAGGGTTTATGAGGGTAAAGAGATCATGACTACACATTTATTTTAAGACATTGATCTTAAATTGCAAAAAGGAGACCCGTAACTGTTTGTAGCTAATACTTTTTTCAACATTATTAATGACTATTTTTACTATTCATTAATTCATTCTATTCATTCTTTCAAATAATTTGTTTTAATGTATGTTCTCTTCATCTTACTTTATTCTTTGTAAAAAAGAATGGTGATATAACAAAATGATTTAGAATTATAATTTATGTTTTCGTATAATTATTATCATTAGAGTAAATAATTGTCCTCTCAACTTTATTTTAAATATATAATATATGTAATATTAAGTATCTAATATGAATAAATATTAATGAAGTGATAATCAAAGATTTAACTGAAATAAAACACTTACTGAACTTAAATTTAAACTGATACATTGAGGGCTTTTATAAAAATTTTCTGACGTCTTGGTACTATTATTTGTTATCAGGTATACTTGTTTTCCTAGGTTTTGCAATATCTTTAAAGATTCCGAAGCACCTTCAATTGGTTGATTGAGTTGCCATAGGACTCCTGGAGAACATTATTACATTTTGCAAAATTTTTTATTTATTATTTGTATAATTTAATTTATTTAATCCGAGAAAATGTAATCACAGACATGTATGTAATAATAATAAAAACCAATTACTGAAGAATTCATTTTGTAAAACTATTATATTGTAATATATACAATACATATATGTGTGTGTATATATATATGTATATATGTATGCATATATCATATATAAATATCCCTGGCGGAAAAACTTTTACGAAAATCTATATAGATTGAGACAAGATCTTAGAAATTATTAGTTTTTCATAGATATTCGTATTGGGATATAGAACGGCATTGTTTGTTTAAAAAACTTAGAAATCCTCCGCCCTCAAATAACACCACTTTACGTCCCACTACGAGTATATACGAAAAACTAAGAATTTCTAAAACAGACAAACCTGGCTCTATCTCCCACTACAAACATCTACGAAACACATTAAGAATTTCTTGTGTCTCAACAAGATCTTGTCTCAATCTATGTAATTTTTCTGTACCTTTTCGTAAAAATTTTTTTTCCGCTAGGGATACGTGTATGTATGTAGTGCGCACGCGCGTAGGGTGTGAAATTTACAAATCAAAATCAACAAGAAGTTTCGAAAAAATAAAAATAAAGTTTTATAGAAGAGCTATGTGTTATTTTTCGTTCCGAAAAGAACTAAGTTGTAATGTATTTGTCAATTTTCCGAGCAGTAGTTTTGATACGTGACTCATTTATAGAAGTGATGGTTTAACCATAATTTATAATAGGCCAGTTAAAACCTTTATACTACTGCTCGGAATGAAAATTAGCAAATACAACTTATTTTCTCAGAGAATTTTTTTGCTGTGGTGTTTTGATTCGCGGATTTTAGAATGTCCTGTATATGACATCTATATTAAAATTTGCACAGTGTATTAATCAATAACCATAATTCTTTAACACAATGTTCTTACACAATTAGTCTTTTAATTTAAAATTTTTTCGATAGCTAAATTAACGATAGCTAAATTAACGTAAATGTATTCTGTAATGTTTCAATTATACAATTGGCACACATAAATACACACATATCGTTAAAAATTATGGAAATTAGAATTTTATTGCTTACCGTCGATGTCGCACATCACTGTGTCAAAGGATGTTAAAAACTCTTGCAATTGTTCAATCGACAGCTTGATAATGTCCTTGGTCTTAGACATGATAGGTCGTTTTGTAAACAATTTTAGAACACAATAAAAATCATCCGTTTCGCGGGTTTTTTCCGTATCACAGATCCATTCTTGGAATGTCAACGTTTCGTGAACCTTGCAGTCCACTTCATCAGGGCGAGGAGCAGCCTGATACTGAGCTGCTCCTCAGGTCCCTTTATATTACGCTGCTTGTTGAGTGGAGGTGGGGGGGAGGTAGGGGAGGGAAGAGGGGGGAAGGAAGAAAATTGTGGATGGAGAGGAGGAAAAGAAGTCGGTTAGTCTTCAATAGCCGGGAGAATGATCCATATTTTATTTATGTTGTAGCCATTATCTCTATTTATAATAGGTTGTTAGGGTGTTGTTTTTGTATCTCTATGGCTTCTCTATGCTTTCTTGAAAAGTATGATGTAATGTTGGCTATTGTGGTCGTTTTATTAAACTGTATTTGATGTCCTGTTTCGATATTGTATTCTGATAATGCCGATTGCGTAACGTGTTTAGTCTGACATCACATTGGTGTTCTTTTATCCGTAGGTTGACCTCTCCCGGTTTTTCCGATGTATACTTGCCCGCAGGAACAAGATATTTTGAATAAAGTATCTGAGCCGAATAAGGCCTACCTAATTTATTTTATTTTTTTTAAATTCTATTTATGGGGATATTGAAATAAACTAAGTGAGAGAGAGAGAGAGAGAGAGAGAGAGAGAGAGAGAGAGAGAAAAGGTCCAAATAAAAAATAAATTGAAAATAACAAAAAAAGTAAACATTTTCTTTTTAAATCAGTTTTAAAATGATTATTAATCATAGAAAGAAAATTCCTTAGGACTTACTCTACTCTCAAATATTACAATTATCTTTAATTTTGTTTGTAATTAATTCTTCAATCTTTGAACATTTTTAGCAATTTGAATGCAATTTTGGTTTCTTAAACGATAGTAGCATTGAAAATCGTTATTCTCTGGCGTAAATTCCACACATAACAAACAAATAATAATAGCTATAATAAAAATCACATAAGTGGGCCTTATTTAATAAGTACATGTTTAAAAAAAAATACTTATACACTTATTTAAAAAAAATTATTTATTAGTTATTTTCCAGTTAGAAAGTTGAATAATATTATAATGAATTATAGTAAATTATAAAACATTGTATACTGGTAAATTTTGCAGCGGATTGTTATAAAAATGGCTCATGCTAGCCTCATACACACAAGTTTTTGTTGTGTTAAACAAACGTGTCGTTATCGATTCCAATTCTTTAATTCTTTTTTATCTACTTCTTATGACACATCTTTTGAGCATATAGTGCAAGCGTAAAGCGAGTTCTAAAGTAATAAATTTAAAAGTGGGCCTTATTTAGTGCCTGGGCTTTATTCGGCTCAGGTACCTTACTCCTGCGGAACTGAATAGAGATCTTTAATCTTTAGAATTTCTTAAGATTTGTCCTATCTTTTTGGGTGGTTTAAAGATAGTTCGGATATTGTGTTTGTTTAGTATTCTGCCAATCCGGTTTGTTTTTCCTTTAACAAATGGAATGATGGATAGGATATATAAAGGGAACGGCCCGGAGGAACAGCTCAGTACTGCTCCTCGCCTTGATGAAGTGTACTTCAAGGTTCACGTTGGCATTCCAAGAATGGATCTGGACATGGAGAAAACCCGCGAAACGCATGATTTTCATATAGGAAACACCCGTGAAAGTCTCAAGAATATTTGAAACACAATATTTTCTTGAAATTCCTTTCGATATTATTGGCCTAATGGATCCTATTCTCTCAGCAATATAAGACTTCCTAGAACTTAACTTCTCAGAGACTACTTTTAAGAATTACTGTATTAGTCGTCGCACTATCTAATCTAATCGAAATATCGTTTGAAAAGAGAAAGAATAAGAATTTATTGAGTGTTTAGTTTTCGATAACATCGTTGAAGACAAATACTTATACGCAATGAAGTTTTCTATTATGTACGCTGCGACCTGTGCGACATAACAGACATATTCCGGACGTCAACAACAATCATCTCGCTAGCAAAGCCAAGCTTACGCATGCTTCAATAGCTATAGAAGATGTAAAGCACTGTATATGTGTGTGTGTGTGTGTGTGTGTGTGTGTGTGTGTCGTGTTGTGCATAGTAATGCATAGTAAATGTATAGAGATAGTGAGAGAGATGTAAAATCTATTCGTTATTATCATTATATCAACATTATCTGTAAATATGTACATATGCAGAATGTTCCGAAATTTGTGAATCAAAATACCATCGCAAGAAAGTTCTTGAAAAATAAATTATGAAAATATTTACTATTTATTGTACCAAATAGTTGTACACAATAATTTTTAACATGTATTTGGATTCTATAAGATCACTGTTGATTTTAACTGCATAAAATTAAACTATAAAATTTTTTTTATAGTTAATATGATTTTACATACTGTTTACGTATATTCGCTGTTAAAAATGTTGAACATAATTATACACTAAATTCAACTTAAAAAAAATCGTAAATTTAAATAAAATAAAGAAATTATTAGAGAATAACCATTATGACAATACATTATACAAAATATGAGGAAAATATATTAAAGGTAGTGGGAGACCAGGGCTAAGTTGGCATTTGAATTTTGAGTGGCAAAAATATATCTTATGAGTTCCCAATTTATATTGTAGATAGTATCACGTGTATCTTCTTTATCAACGAAGTTTAATTAGATGCCGCATTGTTATGTTTAGGTAGTTAAACGTGTTTTCGATAGTCAAAAATAATTTTTGAGATTTCATTTTCTGAGATCACATCATCTTTTGTGTATATAGATGAAATGAAGTTGCAAACACCAAAATTTTTTATTGCCATCTTGTAGTCTTATAATCACTCTATAAAACGCTAATAATCATTTGACTAAATCGTTTACTTTGTTATTGAAAGTTGCAATTGAAAAGAAGGTGCCCATTTAATCCCAGTTTCTCCTATACAGGTAAGTCACTTAAGACCGGCCACCCGAATAACGCCCACAGTTTTGTAGATAGGAAAAAATGTTTCAAATGAGAGTGGAACGGTTTTAAGGGAGACGTGTTTTGTCGTGTTGTCTTTCTTCTAGATGGAGGCGCCAAAAAGATTTAAAGATCATCTCCATTTTTTTAAATGAAATTGTATAATTTTTTTTACTTAATATGATTCCTCTAATTATTCTGCACATAAAAGTATTAAGGTAGAGATATAAAAAAAACAGTAATTTACGAGATATTTATACTTTATTGTGACATACCGTTAAATAATTTATAATTATTTAACATTTTACATCAATATAGAAATGTTAAATAATTATGAATTATTTAACGTTTTACGTCAATATAGAAATGTTAAATAATTATGAATTATTTAACATTTTACGTCAATATAGATATGTCACTACAGTGTACTATTGATAATTCAAAAACCGGTTACTGATATCATGGTCAGTGAGTCACTATTATTTGATTTAGTTAGACTTTATAGAGGTAACAGTGGGAAAATAACGTTTAAGAAGTTAGTTAATTCCAAGAAATTTGGAAAATGATTTAAAATTAACGCCAGAAAGACTTCAACTTGTGTGCGAACGACACTGACTGAGAGAATATGCTTTGAAATTTCTTGAATTTGTGAATGCAAAAGACGTGGCGGAATGGAGACATCTGGAAATTTTAATTTGTTAAACTCAAAATTTAGAATTGCGCATGAAGAAAAGTACACACTGAAAAAAAAAGATTGGCTGCTGCAGCAAATTAGATGGTAAAATATGGCATAGCATTTTTAATTGGTTGCAGCAGTTAATTTTTGGTTGTGTTAATCTATCGGAATTCTATACTGACATTGCAGATAGGCTAACGCAACTAAAAATTGGCTGCTGCAGTCAATTAAAAATGCTATGCCATATTTTACCAATTAATTTGCTACAGCAGCCAATCTTTTTTTCAGTGCAGGATTAGACATATGTTGTATTATGCAATTTTATTGACATAAATTTAATACCGAAGTAAGCAATCGTTCAAATTAAAATTTCAACAGTATTTATTGTCGATTTTTGTTATTCTTGAAATCTAATTATAAAATGTAGAATTTGAAGAATTTAAAACTATAAATTTAAAGATTTTTATGCAAAACAAATATCGCAATACATTGGCTGTTTTATGATGAACTATTTTAGGATTAAAATATGTAAGCACCCAAGTGGGAATTGATGCAGAAAAGCGGTATTGAATCTTGGCGAGGTTCCGAAAATGAGTTTCATATTTCAGTACTGGACCAGTACCATAAAACTAATGATACGGTACTGGCCCAATATATGAATCAGTATTGAATAGTAATACTGATCCAGTACACTGCCAGTAGATTTTCGATATCGCGTGTGTATTGTAATTAGTAAAAGGAATATGTCAAGCGTCAGTACTGAGCCAACATACTGTCGATAGATTATCGGTATCATGTCCGTACTAAAATTGGGAAAGGATTAGGGAAAAGTGGGGGAACTGTGCGCAGCGGGTAATTGTGCGCATCCCGGTTTGGTACTTTTCCAATGGATGAAGACATCACTGTGATGAAATTTTTACGCAGGAGGTTGTCCTCTTAAGATATAACTACAAAAGATACGACGTAAGTACGTTGCTAACAAAAAAATACAAAAAAGTGAAATCACATCTTTTCTTGTTATTTTAGCATTCAGAAAATAAGGTGGTAAGTTGGTATTTTTAATTTGTTTTTTGTAAATAATTTATTATAAATAAAGTAATTATTTTGTTTTGTGTACGTTATGGACAATTTGATTAAATTCGGGTATTATACATAATGACTGGTCATTATCCAATTAATCGAATTGCCTGTAACATATATATGATATTTAGTAATAAATTCTGATTCAAATACCTTGTCAGTAATCGATTTCGCAATCTTGTCGAATGAACGTTTCAAACTCTCCTTATTCATCTCGTAACAATAAAATTATTAAAAACCTTAAAATTTTAAAGACGTCGTCAGATGATGGTTGCACATATATCCTGAATTAGGGATGTTCCGATATAATCGATATTTTGAAATATCATATCATCTCGATTCATATTGATACGAAATATCGATAGTTTGTGCTTCTCCGCACATGTTTGTGCACATCCTAAATGCAGTCGTGATATGATTTGTTGCTACACAACGATAAAATTATTTCAAACATATCATGCGTTCATACTTAATGACAAGTCATAGATTTGCAAAGTCGTTTTCTGAATTGTTACTGCTATTGACAGAAACATTAATCGATATTTTTAACTGTATTTCGCTTTGTGTTATTCTTGAAGCGCTGTTCTTAATAATTCTCTTATTAATTCTTAAAGTGCTATTCTTCTATTTTGAAAATGTAAGTAAGTTTGAATAGTCATATAAGTATTAACCTTTCCAATATGACAGAATTTTGCAATTATTCATATATTTTTTGTTCTTGATATGTTCTTGATAGAAGAAAATGCCAAAAAGGAAGTATTTTTATACTAAAAAATATCGAGATTTGAAAAATCTGCATGTATCATCATCGCCATCCGAAGATGAAGAAATTAATATAAATAATATAATATATGATAATGAAGAAAAACAATTATTTAAAAATATTTCAGTTATCGAAAACGAAGTTAAATCTACATCTGATAATGAGTCACAATTTTAAAAAAACGATAATATAATATCCTGATATGCCATGAAAAGTAAATCATTCCAATTCTAGTGTACTTAAACATTAAAAAGTATTATAACAATATTTCATTTGTAAAACTGCTACATCTGTTCAGTATAAGTATACATTTAAAGACTGAAAATGATTTTGGCGCGCAGTTGTAGAACTAGGTATGTACAGGGTGTCTCACGGGAAGGTGTTGAAACTAATCAGCTGTCATTTTCAAAGGTATTCAGTTATTAAAGAAACAAACATTGCGCTGAAAAGAGGAAAGTCTGCAATTTTTAATGAGTATAAATAAAGTTTAATAACATGTTTGTGTATCAATTAATTTTATTGATGAAAAATATGCTAAAATCAAGTAAATGCTAAGATTAATATTTAAGATCGCAGATAAGATCGGAAAACAGTTTCAGATTTAGCTATTTAAAAAGTTATTAGCAATATTAAAAACGATATGTTAGAAAAAGTTTTTACGAGCTTTCGTAAAAAAAGATGATGCACACTCCTACAAAATTACTCCTTGAGATTATGAGTATATTTTTCATCAATAAAATTAATTGATACACAAACATTTTGTTAAATTTTATTTATACTCATTAAAAATTGCAGATTTTCCTCTTTTCAGCGCAATGTTTGTTTTTTCAATAACTAAATACCTTCGAAAATGATAGCTGATTAGTTTCAACACCTTCCCGTGGAACATCCTGTAGGGTAAGTGGTCCAACAACGAACCATATAAATTTCAGAGGCTTATATCTCTTTCAATTATTGAGTTGAAGATCTGAGTTTGGCATACAGTTTATGAATTTATTTGGCTGCATATTGTAAATAATTCAAGCAAGCCGCTTAAATACTTCAAATACCAGCCGCTGCGTGTTAACAGCGCAATCTGATAACGTCGTATTTATGAAATATCGCAATGGTTTATAGTGTACTACTGGTTCACTGTTGGACTACCTATCCTACTTAAAATCACGCCGAAACATTTTTTAGCATAAGACTTTTAGCAGCAGACATTCGCTGTTTTATGGTGACTATTTTGATTAAGACTGGATATAAACAATTTCTCAATATATGATCTTTTTCACTTTATTGTTTTCTATTGATTTGCATACATCACGTTCCTGTTTATACGAGTATATTCCAGTTAATCAAAATAGTCACCATAAAACAGCGAATATATTGCGACTAGTGTCTAGTGAATACATCTAATATTCTAGTGAATACATAAATAAAAAATGAATAAAAGTACTCATTCAAATACACTTCTTTTTTATTCGTCAAGAAACGAATAAATACTTTTTCATTCTATTTGAATGAAATTTTTAATTGTAGGAATGCGACTCAGGAATTTGCGAGGTCGGGAGAATAAGTAAAAGATTCGATTAATTTAAATAAAGAAAAGATACTAAATTTATAGTATATATAGTAATTATATCGCGATACGATATAGTAATTATATCGCGATACGAAAGCCTTCGGGATTAACAATTTAATCGCTCTTTACAGGCTATATCTCTGTCTTTCTCAGTTCTATACACTAACGATTCTCACTCGTAATTATATAATTCGTAATTGTATAATTGCCCGCGCGTCTCGTAGGCACTTTATTTTTAACTTTTCTTGGCTTTTCGCTTCGCACGTCGAGCAATCTCAACCGACTCCGAATCTCTTCGAAACATGATCGACGCAACCCGATCTCGCGAAGAAGTCGTTATCGTATTGCGATCGAACGCGATATCTCGATTCGCGATTTAACGCGGAAATGCGATCCTACAATATGATTACGAATATTTTCGTTTCGTATTCACTTTTAATTTGTATTATCTGCATAGTCTGTATATGTCCTACATTTTTAGTGAAAATGGATTTCAGTATCCGGTGTAAAATTAATATCCATTTCTCATTCCCAATGAGTAGAATGTCTAAAATCGACGCATAGATATTTCATAAAGAACTCTTAAAGATATCTTAAAGTTATCTTATGTCGATTCTAGACATTCTGCTCATTGGGTTGGAGACAAAACACGTCTTTATAAGACGCTATGGGATATTATATTTTAGCAATAATTCTAACTGTAATTACGTATGTGCAACTTACCTTTTCTTTCTTTATTTCTTCATCTTTTAATGTTTTTTCATGGCTGCTGGGAATAAAATAAATAGACTTAAATAACAGTCAAACGCCTTTGGGTTAATAGAATTTCAATTTATTAAGTTTCTCTTTTCCCTAGCCCTCAGTGTGTCTTGATTCTCATTTACAAAGGTATTATATAGCTGTAGTGAGTAACTAATAATAGATAATAATAGTCGCAATCATAATAATTGGTACTCGATAATAATGACAAGTAATAATAATAGCAATCGATGGTAACACATTAATATGGACAATCGCATCATACGTTTAATTATCATCCTCGTCTATGGAAATCATCATTAATTCCGTCCGCTCGCTCGGGCTCTCGATGAACAAAAGAAAAGGTATCTTACGTATTCACAGCGATAAGAGTGAAATGACTAAATGACAAATTTATTTATTTATAACCCTGACTAGACAAGAGATGAACCCCATTATACTCCTACACGGCGCGATTCGCTGCACAGCAATTCGTAGGCTATCAGGTTAACATTGTACACGGTATATAGAAACATTCGTTGCGTAACAAGCATGGGAGCGTGGAGAATGTCGCCGTGATCGATGGATGTGCATTTTGTAAAATATTTCGTGGACACTTTTATTTTTTCTAATAAGATATCCGATGCAAAAAGGCGAGCCTTTATTAACATATTTTAAAAAATGGTAATATATTAATATAATTCAAAATATATAAAAGAAAAATATATTAAATGATAATGTTAAAATATTTTCTTGAGTCTTTTTAAAATATTAGAGTACGAAAATATTATAAAGTATATATTATACTCTAATATTATAAAATATTAGAGTATGTAATATCAGTATATCATATCCATAAATAACATATTGTATTATCAAATATGATTATAAGGTAGAATTATTATTAATTTCTACATAGTAAAAAAATTTGTGTAGTTGTTGGAAACGGTCCATTTTTGTGTTAACGGTCTACGTTTGTGTTAACAGTTTGTGTTGAATTTTTTAACATATTTCAGTTAATTTAACATATAATGTGATTATGTTATATAAAAAGATTTTTTTATGAAATTGATATTCAATGTTTCTTAGTGTCAAAATGACACAATTTATGAGTAAGTGAACAAGTAATATAAAAATAATGTGTTTTAAAATGTAAATTCTAAGACAAATGAATAAAATACGTGTTAATTTAACATATCATTAATGTTAATTTTCTTAAAAAATATGCTTCCACGGTTTATTTATAAACTGTGTCAATATTACCTTTTTGATATGTATTCTTTTACATAATATTTGTATATATATATATATAATCTTCGAACATATTCATTTTGTATTAAATTAATCCAAAAATTTTAATGGACCGTTTGCAACATGTTTATGTTAAATTCAACACATTTTCCCCAAGTGTGTGTATATATATCATATTTCATCGCTTAAAAAAAATGTATATTTGATGATGACCATATTTGCAATCGATAAAAGGATAGCAAAACAAGAATTAACTGAAAAGCAGACTCTTGATGAAAAATAATAATTTTTTTACATCTCTTTAGTATTAAATTTAAATCGGCAATTATTTTTTTCATTAATTGGCGACAATTACGACACGTTTTTCATAAAACATTAGATTTGTGAAAATTCGTAATTTATATATTTTTTATAAATTACCTTCTCAGCGCGCATCAAACCCGATAATTTTACAAGTTTTATGTAAATGCGATTTGCAAAATGGCGCTATCCCAAGCTGGCCAAGGACATTTTGTTTATTCGGTGAGACTCGCGAGACGTGCGACGTAGGGAGAGATGAGAGAAGGGAGAAGGCTTGAGATCGGTTAACTAATAAAGCCTTTCATTGATGATATGACAGAGAATTGTCGGCAAGGTCGACCATTAGATCATCGACAAATTTATGTTATTTATAAAGATAAAAATCATCTTGTTATAATTGCAAACTATAATTATGAATATTATATTATTCTTAAATCTCTGTCTCTTTCTAACGAATATGTTATTATTTACGAATTATCTTTAATTAAATAATTTAACTTAAGATTAATAAATTATAATCATTGTTTAATTTAGTTTTTCATGGTTTCGATTATACGGAAAATTATTAATCTAACTCTTACGAAATTATTAATACCTCTAATTTTTTTAAAACAAATTTTCTAATTATATTTTTGCTGAAGCTTAATATTATATTTATCGAGATATTAGATTTATTTTCGAATGAAGTCAGTTTTTCTTTCTTTTTCTTTCTTGCCGACATTATCGAGTTGAAGTGCACCTGTGCAAGAGTGTCATAGCTTCTTTTTGAGTATATCTTTGTTTTGTTTTTATTTGTATAGTTATCCACACTAATGATGATTATAGATAATCGTCGCGATGGTCTTATAAAGATGGCAACGATCGATGTTCGATGTAGTACAGACTAGAACACAACAATACGCGCACCATTTGTTCTTGAAGGTTCGCATGATTTGTCTCAATATTTTTTAAATAAAATTACATTATTAATCTTAATATATTACATTATAATGAAACGATCGGTCAAAAATTTATCACTGACTTACACAGAACTTATACTGAATATATTCATTAATCTTCACATAAGTTTAGATAGTTACATTGCAGATATACGCATTTTTAACATTTGCATAACAACATTATCTTAACAGAAATATGTAAATGTGATTATTTTGCTAAATTAAAATATTAAATTAGCAATTAAAATATTATTAAAATATTTAATTAAAATATTAAGTTAATTATTTTCAAAATGCGCAATCTGAAGATTTTAATTTAAGAGCTGATAATACAGAAATATCAAGATTTGAAATAGTTTCAGTTTTATACAAGCGAATAAAATTGAATATCAGTACTGATAAAGTTTGCGCGCTTAGGGCCATAATCATGTCTACTCGATATATGAAACACTATTCATTTTCACAATTGAATTAACAATGATCTTTACTGAATAATCAATTTTGTTTTTTTTTAGTTTGTTACGTAGGGAGTATAGAAATCATCATAGTTTAATATGAAATTAGAATGCTTAATTCGTATTTATGTGTACCTATATATTGATTATTACTTATAAAAAATTGAAAATGTTTAAACATAATTTTACTTGCGAATTTTATTCTGGATAGGAAATATGAATAATGGAATATTTGTGCAGGAAACAATATTATATTTCATTGATCTGCTTTCGAGTTTTCCCCGAAGAAATAGATCTTTGACATTCTGATATATAAATTAACACGATAAGCAGCATTAGACCCGGCAGTGATGATAATGCCAATTACTATCAACAAGGAACATCATTTAAGCGCCAATTTTTCTATTTATGAAATATGTTATTAACTGAATTGTTAATAGAGGATGATAACTAGTTAAAAAAAAAGACAGAAGTTAAATAATAAAGTTAAAACGTTAATAACGTATGACTCAATTGTTTTCAAATGAGTTGACTTTTAATTTTTAGATCAGAGTTGCTTGATTTTAATCGTAAAATCAAATGATAATGACAAAATTTTTATTTCGTTTTTTACAAAAAATGTTCCACTTGTTTTTTTTTAAATATTTTAACTTTATTAAAAGAAAGTTATATTTTTAATTATAAAATTAATTTACTAATTTTATATATATATATAATACATACATAATTTATGTTTTAAAAAAATGTAAAGAAATTAAATTATTATCTAAAATTATTAAAAAATGATACATAAATAAATTCAACGACTGTTCTAATGTAATACGAATTTTGTTTAAAATTTGTTTCTTCGATTAACTCCACTGTAATAAATCATTTCATTAGATTTGATAATTCACAAGAGACATTTACACAGCGTCATATTGGATTTTATCGTAGTGATTGCACAGAATATATATGCTATTTTATCACAATATTCTATATTTAGAGAGAAAAGTAGATAATCACTATAATCAATCAACTTATAGAGCTGATAAAAGATACTATAATATTCTTCTAATAAAATTTAAGAAATAAACTAATTTTAGAAAAAAAACGGGGAAATAAAAATTAAAAATAAGCATGGAATAATAACTGTATCATTTCTTTTAGCTTTTCAACTAAAGCTAAATAAAATAACAAAATAAGGTTTGTGTAAGTTTAAACAACTAAAATAAAATCAAGATTAATAAACAAGCGAAAAAAATAAAGTTAGTAAGTTATTAATAGTAATAATGAATCACGGTCAAATTTATTAAAATAATGATATAATAAGACGTTTCGACTTTATTTAGTCGTCTTCGGTCATAATAAAATCATTTTAAAAAATAGAATAAAAATTATAAGATCAATTGGAATTTAATATTTAATACAATTATAAAACCAAAATAAATACACACACATAAGAGGCTACTTTTTATAAAAAAAGGTCTCATCTCATTATATCATTATTGATTTTAATATATTTGATATTTTATAATGCATTTGTGTTAGAGCGGTAAGAGCAAAAGCTATACAGTAAAAAAATTTGTATATTTGCGTTGGAAACGGTCCACTCACGTTTGTGTTAACAGTTTGTGTTGAATTTTTTAACACATTCGAATGTTAATTTAACATAATGTGATTATGTTATTTAAAGATTTTTTGTGAAATTGAATATTCAATGTTTCTTAGTGTTAAAATAACATAATTTATGAGTAAGTGAACAAGTAACATACTGATAAAACACATAAAAATAATGTTTTAAAATGTAATTTCTAAGACAAATGAATAAAATACGTATTAATTTAACATATCATAAATGTTAATTTTCTTAAAAAAATAGTGAATCTCTTAGAAACACAGAATCTCTTAGATATTTAAATGTTTAATAACATATTTTGAGAGGAAAAAAATTGGACAATATTAGATAGTTCCTTGTTAGTAGTCTTCCCGTATAATAGAAGACACGATCATTTCCCACTTCGTCAGGGTAATAAGAACAATTTCCATCGATTTTCTGATTCTTAGACAATGCGAAGGTGAAAAAAGTGAACGAGGGATAGTATAATAGTTCTCGATAATTGATCTTTTCATATTCCACAATAAGAGCTTACTGGTAGTCGTTGTAGTAGTTATTTGTGATACTGATTAGACATACTATTATAATCAAACGTAACAGTATCTTTCAATATTAAATACAGCTACGAAATTCCGAACGCTTTCGATTACTGTTAATACTTAACAGTTTTGACAATCTTGACTATCGAGGGTGTTACCGATTGAATAGAGCTTATTTCATAATCATGGTAATATACTTGCACTGATAGTAATGTTGATCGTATGAGGCACACGTAAAGCTTTCACTAGGTTGCACAAATGACTCGAGTTTATCACTGTAAGGTGAAAATCGAACGGATCATTTTCCCCTTGAAATTCTCTATTCACATCCTCTCTATTCACATCTGAAGCCGATTATTAATCCTCGAGGGAAAGCCTGTCTTCGTTATATTTCCGTCCAGCTTCCAAAGTGGACCGATTAATAAAATATTTTCGATATTTATGTCATTGGTTAGGCTACGGCTAAAGATTATTTTATGTGAAACATATTCGTGTAGATTGAGAAATTTTGAGAACGATCTTATTGACTCTTTACATAATGCAGTGTTGAGTTCGCGAAGAGCATACTTGTCAAGTCCGTTTAAGGGGTTAAGCTCCGAGATATGCGATAATGAACGTTATGTACATAGAAATTCACTATGATACGCGAGTCTGACTGTCTATCGCCATTCTGATCTTAGGTACTGATTTATCTATCGACCTACCTACCTGATTTATCTCTCTAAAAATATCACCTTACTAGATGAATTTACAAATTGCTAATCTGAAGAGGCCGACATGTTCTCAGGTGTAATTCTCATTATGTGAGGTCAATATTCGGTATGTTTACAATCAAAATTATTTATTTGTTATATAGAATTGACTCAAACGTTTGATTGATGTTTCTAAACTTTTGAATATTTTACATCGATGATTTAATTGTTTTTGTGGTATAATATGGTAATTCCTTTTTTCTCCAAATAATTACATTCATGCCTGTAGACAAATCGAAATTATCACTGTTTAACAACTGTTGATTGTGCACATATAATTTTCACAAAATTCGTTTTTGATTAATTATTATATTATATACAAAGAAGGTCTCGAAATCGTACAAAAAATTTGTATGTCTCTTTTTGTCTTGGCGGCGAGATTTCCTTTCACTTTTTATTTCGTGGAATAAAGCTATATTGTTTAATTCGAATGCACATTTTTTAAAACAAGAGATCAATCTCTGTGTTACTTATTTATTGACTTTATAAGGTATGCAGCACTAATCATGTAATTGTTTTCCATTGTCAATTATCATTCATCGATAAACGTTGACGTTTCGAAAATGATTTATCATTTATACTTACATATATGTTGATAATAATTAAGTCACATGTCTACTCACGTCGTAGACAATTGAATACTATTCGAAGGGCATAGGGCAAAAGAATAAAAATTTTTTTTCTCTGCAATTAGCATTTACTTTGAGGGAAGATAACAATAAAATATTTAAACGAAATAAAATCGCAATATAAAAGCCAATTATAATATTAAAAAGTTAATTTCTTAAGATATTAAATTCGTATTGTAGAATAACTTATTTGATATGTTTAATAAATTACATTTCTTAATGCTTAATTATATATCAATGATATGAAGAAAACTGATTGCGCAATCAGACGATGATATGATGAAATAATAATTAAGCAAACTATAATGTTACAAATTTCTAACAGAATGTAAGATTATAATTGTACCATCATTCACTTGTAAATATTCAAATAATAATGGCAGAAAAATTTTGTGACATATTAATTGTACCTCAACGGAAATTCTACGAAAGCGATTATATCAGGAGACACACGGTAGTGTCTCGGCGTTAAGCCAAGCGCAGCGACACTACCGTATTCCTTAATAGTTACTTGAAACGTAAATTTTCTTGAATAACAGTTTACTAGTAAGAGCAACACGAAATATAGATTTTAAATCTGGATTTACCTATGCCCTTCGCGATAAGCATCGGCTACATTCATGCATATCGCGCCATTCAAATTGAAAATATTTCACCGAAAAGAAAACGATTTTTGTAGAAAATGTCGCAACGCGAACAATATTATTTTTTAACGCTTCTTCGACTATCCTCCCTTTTTCCCATCATTTACTCCGTACGTAAATTCGTACGATTCAATTTCTTTTTTTTATCTTGGTTATAAATAACTAAGATCATACAATTAATCGTTATCGATTGTTCGCGCAGGTGCGCGCTCTGGTGTACGGTGTGTGTTTAATTAATTATAGTATATTTGTGTGTGTCGTTCCTATATGGTACTATATATAACATTACAGAACTATATACAATCAGAGTAACAGCGTTATTTATTGTTATTGTTATGTTATTATTAATAATATATTAATAATGTTATTATATTATTATAATTATTATTATACTATTATTCCTTTCATTTTTCCTTCTAGCCTAATTCTTCTTTTTCAACAGATCGGCGTGTCCGCGTCTTCACGCTATGTTGCTCATATATATGTACGAAGTGCTTAAGGCGCAAAGCATAACCCGTTATATCCCTCCCATCATGTTTGTTAATTACGAATTTTAATCGGATTCTATTAAGAGTTATTGATAGAATCTGATCAAAGTTCGTGAGATTTCTCAATACGAGTCAGTTATCTCATTAATTTAACAGTTAAGTTGTTTTAATAGTTCACGTATATCGTTACTTAATACATAAAATAAGAATAAAGAAGAATTATAAATAAAAAAACTCTGTTTTCATTCTATTGTTTATTTCATCAGGATAATTAAGTGATCTTAATGTAGCTCGAATTATCTTATTGAAAAGATTTGTTGCAAATCTTACACGGGAGTGTTTGAAAAGAGTGACTATCTGCTGATAAATCTAACAGTTTTTTTTTTTTCCTATTGACTATTTCAATTCCGAAAAAATTTGATTTTGAGACATAATGGGTTATCTCTAGATTTCAGTCGTGTCTATGTATATCTATATATGTGTCCTGTGTATCGTTTGACGTCATTTATATTTTCTCAGCTCGAATTTCTCCCCGTTTTGTCCGATCCCACAATCGCACGTTATTTCTTCTCCATTTTTCCTTTCGGAAATTGCAAATATCTCCGTAATTCTTTTTAACTCTGTAAATTACGAAAATATTGTAGTTGTAAGCTAAATATATATAACTGTAAAATGTGATATTTTTCTTAAAGACAACTTGAACTTCAACTTTATAAATTATTTACAATTATTTTGTGATTGTTTTACAGGTAAGTAGCTGATTGATTGGATAATAATAAATCAATTAGAACTAGCAAGAGCCTAGCGAAGTAGATGGTTCAGAGAAGTACAAGAAGAACGCAGAAACAAACAAAAACTATCAAATCGTAAGTAATGCAAGAAATTAAGCAAATTAGTCAAGAACGCTAGTTAGACTTGCTACAGTTCTAAGATTATATTTTAGGTTTCTAATTTTTAATTAGTTCTGATCAATTCTGCAATAATATCGCATATTATAAAAATTACGTAGAGAATGCAAAATTCTCAGTATGTATTTAAATGCTACAAAATGAAAGATAAAATAAAAAGTTTAAATATTGAATATTCTTTTGCATTAAAATAAATATTTTGATAAAATGATATTAAATTAACAATAAGTTAAATTTTTCAAGATATAAATAAATTCTAAGATATAAATAAGTAAGAGAAATTGTTCTTTATTTTTTAATTTATTCTGCACAAAAATCCTATTTATCAAAATATTGAACATTGACGAAAAGCTTGTGACAAATGATGGTCCCTATTAACTTTTGCAAAGCAAATTCGATTTAATAATTTAAAATATATTTAAACAGAATCTGTACTATACTAATAGTTATACGACATTCTGTATCGTACGACAAGATAATAGTAAAATAGTGTTCAAAATTGGCAGTATTTTTTAAACTTCTAAAGATACTGTCAATATTGTTCGTATTGTTTCGTATTGTCATGAGTAACGTAGTTGACAGAAATTTGATTAAGCGCTTCTTTATATTTTTTAAAGATATTCTCTGGATAAATATTGTAATGTGTGATTATTTCATCGCAAAGCGTAGAACTGACAAATTCGAGCCGGAGAAATAATGTCGACGCATTTTCCGATCTCTATCTTTTTTTCTTCTTCTCACATATAATTGTCCGTCCGGTCATGAAGAAACGCGGTGACATCGCTTCGATCCAATTAGTTGGTTACAAATTAAGCGGTGTTACTATTAAATTATTGCACATTGAACGAACAATTACCGTTGAGTTCTCAGATACTGCGAGACTTTTTTTTCTCTTTTTCATGAACACTAATAGCCGCCTGGAGATTTATTAAAGTCCTACTTAATTACGAATTAACTCTCTCCCTCTTATCGCTTCTCTCTGTTATATCCATGTATACATGTACATTCGTACGTGTACTTCGTATGTTCCGTATATATTTATATACAGTAATATGAATATATATATGTAGGATGCCCTGCTTCTCTATTGCATCTTCTTTCAACGAATCTTTGATAAATTCAATAATTTTCAAATTATAATAATTAAGATGAAAAAATTTTTGTTTATAATGTATGAATATTTTTTGTTATATTAATATTCTTTACTTTAACGATATTTTTTATTGAAAATGTAAGAGTAAATATATAGAAGCTGTTTTTTAAGTTGATGAAAGAATTCGCGAACGAAAGAAATGGCATAAGCAGCAGAGCCACTGTGTATATTCATATTCATTTATTTATTTATATATAATATATATATATATGTTTCTCTCATTAGTGCCTATTTATTGTTAGTCAAGGAGGAATGTAGTCGTAGTGGTCATGTTGAGTTGAGCGAGATAAAGAATCAAGCCAGCCGGTACGTTCATCGTCCGGTATCTGACTGATATAACGGGAGACTTTATTATTGGCGAAAAAGTTGGTAATTTTTCCCATGCGTTGCTCGGAGTTGAATAATTACGTTTAGCTAGGCCTTTCTTTATTACGGCTAAGACGTAATCCCTAAAATTAGGTGGGCTAAGTGTCATCTCGTCTGCTCTCGCATCCTCGATTATCTCGATTATAACATCGCTTAGGCTATTGCTCGTAGGCGAGTTGCAAATGCTTAACTTCTGGTCTGGTTAATTATTATTCGGCGCTACGCTCAAATCATGTAATAATTCCGAATGTCTATTAGACAGTGTCTATAATGACGACATCAACAATAAACTCGCGTTTACGCGTTGATGCGAATCGTGGATGTCCGTGTTTAGGGCTCTGACGGATTTTGATTGCTCTGAGATCTGTGAATGCGTAAAATGATGCGGCAGTCAGTAACATATTAATGACGAATTGCTGAAAAAAAGAAAAGAACGCAAATAATATTTTCAGAGACTCGTTATGCTTTCTATAATTATCAATAATTCGTTATATTAAATAAATAGTGATAACAAATTAAGTTTTCAGGGGAATATTTATCGTATATCTATATCGTGAATTCAATTCACGCACGCGCGTTTTGCTACGAAAATTACTTTACGTTTAACTCTGCAAGAACCAACTCTATTACAAATGCACAGTTTGCGAACGGGCGAAATGCTGAAGAACGACAGTCTTTCTGCGGAACTTAGCACCGAGAGAGCTTAATTATCCAACGCAGACAAGAGGTTAAAATCCATCAACTCCGCGCATTTCAAAGGTCGCAAAATGGATGTAGGAAAAGTCTAGCTTAGCCTTCCGTTGTTTGAGAATGTCGGAGTAACGGACATATTTGATTTTGACCTCGTCTAAGGACAGAAAGGATCTGATCTTCCTTGGTACGGCCTTTTAACTACAGTATGCAATACATCTACAAAATTCGCTTTTTCAATTGACATTAATTGTATATTCCGCAGAAATTGTTTTATAACTGTGTGTGTTGTGATATAAGAATCGAATCGTTTATTTAATTATTACCTACTACTCTTCATTCGGTATCTTAAATGATGAACGATTGCCATGTAACAATGCTAGATCTTTTATTGCCACACTGAGTTATAAAGCCACCGTCTCTCGATGACGCATTCCGACACCTCATTCGACAGCCGTGAATCGAGCATAGGTCTGCCTCCTGCAGGATGACTAAGGATAACGTGGGAATCGGATCGAGCCGAATCTTTAGAAGATAGACTGAATTCTCGTTGAATATAAGGATCGCGTCTACCCTATTATCCTTAAACGTACTCTCTCGCACAAGCGTAACTATTTTTATCGCCGGATACGCACGCTACGATGATTGTATATGTTCCGGGGCCTCATATCGTTTCATATTGTCACGAGATGATCCTCCGTAGTGGATATTTCTAGCGTAATAGAGACAACCCGCGTTGTCATCGGCATTGACGATTGACAATCGGTGCGTTCAGTTTCGATTCGCGGGAATTACTCATATATAGTACATAGTATAATATAATACATATGGTTTACTTTTTTTATATGTATATTATATGTGTATATATATATGTATATATAATATATACA